GATTAACTTACATATATTATATATTATCATTATCAATTACAGCTATATACATACCGAAAGATAAATGTTCGTAATTATCGTTCGCACATATAAGAATTATGAGTGAATTGATTTTATTTTTGCAGTCGTCCACAGATTTCTTTGGTAATGTTCTCAAGAACTGTGATGATACATTATATTAAAACGAAATCTACTTCGACAGTGTTAAGATTATTGTAATTATGTATATTATAATAGCGGTCTTTCGTGTTGGTAATAATATGTCCTATACGAGATAAAACAAAAAAACATCAAAATTGTTACAGAACTGACGTCCTTATACGTTGATAAAAATATACATGAGTAAAATAAAATATAAATAAGTAACGCCTAACTTTTGGGATGGGTAAAAATTTACAAACTACTACATCAATAGTAAGATCCTTCTTTCCTTTAGAAAGCGTCATTTGTATCACTTTTGTTTACTTAGTTTAGCTACATAGAAAAGATACCTCCCATATGCTAACGTGTACATGTAAATACAAAAAAACATAACATGATTTATTGTTCACCAATTCAAGACTTATGTTATCTATTTAGACTACGTATAATTCCGACTACTAGTTAATTATTTTTGTAGTAGTTGTAGAATACTTAGTTTATATTAAAATTTTATATTAAAAGTATATTTTAAATATCTACAATCCCACTTCATAGTACAATACATTAACTTCATAGTTAAATAGACTTGCCTACTAAACCTAATTAGTAACATTGAAATATCTTAGCGTAATATTTATTTGAATTCTTTATTAATCAATTCTATTTCTAAAGTAATAAATAATTAAAAACTTTATAGTATGAAATGTCGATGAGGTTTAAATGTAGAAACCGCAACTAGATAACTTTCTATTATTATTTATAGTATATGTACATGTCCGGTCCTTAGATTGAAATTGCGAATTATAAACACCCACATATATAAATAAAAGTAGGTATGTTATAGTTGTTTGTAATATTTATTGCTAGTAGACACTATAACATGTATGAGGTAGTACACACATGTGATCAACGTCTGCTACTTTCACGTGAGACGGGCGCGCCCATATTAATTGCTCCCGTTCTTCGGCGAAGCTTTATTTATTGCCCTCGCCAGTGATTGTGAAAAGCTTTGAGTGTACATTAGTTTTAATTTTATCTCGAATATTCGATCTGACGGGTGACACACGAGCTCTGGCGACGCGGTCGCCGCGCCGTGCGGTCACCGCTGCTACATCTACCAGACGTTACTTAAAGTACATGTGTGTTTTAAAGTAAAAATAAAAAAATATAACGGAGGTTCTATTGCGATCTGTGCTCCGTGAGAAAAATATTCCAGACTTTATTTGCCATTGTCTTTGTACGGCTACACAGAGGGAGTAAATAAAAAAATCAATCATTAGCTAAACAAAAATGTGAGCGCTCGCGCGCCGATGTTTTTAGAGAAATAAACATTAATTGTTTGCACAACGACCGCCGCCAAAATCAATATTTGATATTCGAAAATACTATTCTAATGTATGTCGTGGTACATGGGTACCACTTGACGCATCTGGCACTTTAGCGGCTCTTTTGGTCTCTGTCCATATTACGTGCGTGACATTTTAGCGCTATTCGATATTATACTTTTTTCATTTATTTTCTTTAAAGTTTTCGGTAAGATGTCCGGTCACGAATGAAGTGAAACAATAAAAGATTCATTTATCTGTAATTTGAGTGTTATCTTAATGTATTTCACCATGTCTAAATCAACTATTCTATATTCCTTTTTAGGTAGGTATATTTGTAAATATGTTTAACATTTGTTATTTGCTGCTACCGACAATTTAGTCCGCGTGGAATTAAACTTCCTTTTATTAAAATAAATTATGTTTTAAAAGAAATATGCTCTAAGTTATAATTAACTTAGAGCATATTTCTTTTAAAACATATAAACGTAGTATTAACTACTTATAACATTACCTAGCTACGATTTTGAAAGTCCCGTCAAAATCGGTCCAGGATTTTTCAGAGATTAGCAAGAAAAGACAGACAAACAAAAATTATTGAAGTAGTTTTTGGATATAATTATTCTATTGACATTCAAAACTGTTAATTTTAAATTTTAAACAGATACTTCTACTTTACTTGTATCTATAAATTACATATCTTTATTTATAAAGTATGACTTACATGGCGGATTATAACAATACCAAAAAATAAATTGAAAATATTTTATAATTTTTACTAAAATAATATTAATGTATCATTATTTTAGTAAAAACAATATTCACAACTACAGCTTTCGCATTATATGAAATAGTCTTTATGTCACGGCTCTCCCTTTATGATCTACCAAATAGTAGTACATTATTATAATTTCTTATTGATACAAAACACCAGGAATAATATAAAGAACTAAAGCATGAAAACCCTTGCATTATCAAATAATATTGAACTTCATTCGGTACATAATTAAATACCATCAAATAAAAAATAGATTATTTTTGGAGCGTACCTATAAGATTACAATAGTTCTTATTATCAAAATTAGTCATCTTTTCCATAAACATTAACAGCAAAGGAAAATGTTCCGAATGTCTTAATATTAATATCAACTACATTTTTTAACTGTAACTCTCTATCTAACTATCCACATTTGCCATTAAGTAGGAAATTAATCTATTAAAGTAAAAGAGATAATAATATTATAAGTAAGAATACTTAGACAACTATGAACATTAAAATTCATTAAAGTAATCAATATCAACATGCTAAAAGGCTAAATAATACCTATTAGTTAACGAAATAATATTGCCATGCATATAAGATACTATAATGTTGTCGGCATCAACCCAACTTCTTACAATGTCAATAGAGCGTAAGAGACAAACAACGATCGTCTTAGCTGCATATCCCGTTCTTTAAACTTTGATCTCGAACGAGCTGCATACATAGATTAAACGTCTCTAACATGAATAAACTTTGTTTGAGATACGCCCTTTTTCATGACAACATCAACATGTTTTAGGTTACTGTTTCTAAATTTCGTTCTATTTTCTTAATTTGGAAGATTACGTATATATACAGGTAGTGTGTGAATAAATAATGATGCACTGTAATAGTATGTGAGTAGGTATGTATTTGTAGGACATTATAACTTTTTATGAACGTATTTGCTTTGATTGCATGATTCTCATTGCTATTGACAGAGTATAATGCAATAACACTAAATTAATCATAATTGCAACAGAAATAAAAAAAAACTAAACTATTAATATAGGATTTTATTATTTAGTAAACTAAACTAACAATGTATATCTCTAGGTATCATGTTGTCAATGCAAAACAACAGTATTATAATATAAATAAATTTATTTATATGCAATAAGAACTTTTAGCGTACCTTTATAAATTCATTTTCTTAAAGAAAAGAGATGTGGATTACAGAATAATCAACTATTTCATCAATTGAAAATTATTTTCTGAATTTGAAATATATCGTTATACGTAATTTTTATCTATGAAATGCCATTATAGCACGTGACAGCGCGTTTACAGTATAGCAAACTTATATTCTTAAAAAAATACTATTTACGTAATATCTATATCCTTTTTTTTATAATTATTTATTAAGCTCTAATGACACGAGTATACATCAAGATATATCGAATACCGGTACATACATATTCATTACTAACATAGTCTTCAATATTTATGTGTAATGTGTGGAGTTTTGACAAGTCGCCATCTTATAAAATTAACTTAGGTTGTTTTATAATAAAATTTTAATAAATAACGCATTAGGCAAAAAACGGCCACGCTTCAGCTCTCACGGTCAAATGCGCTATAAAATCTGTTGACGCGGGCTGACTGTGCGCGCGCGCTGGTGCCACGCAACGCGGAAGTACAATACATATATAATGGGTAAATTACAGATATTACCACTTAATTATATTGTATATCAGCCTCTGAATATTTAAGTGATATGCCATTACCTACCTCCATTTTTATTCTGCCATAATAATTTTAACGATTTAATACGCAACTAAAATTTTCAATGTCATATAAATATGCAACTTGCACTAAGGTCCAATATTTATAAATAGATACTAGTTTGCAAGTTTGCATACCAACTAATGTAATGTAACTGTGTTGTAACTATAATGTAATTTTCACAGAATATTTTCGGATTTTCATATACAATTAGCATATTTATTCAGATTATGTTATAAGTTACAGAAAAGTAAATATTAGTCATCAGTTGATAACAGTGCACTCACACAGAGATATTACTCAAGTTCTGAAATTACTTGATTAAAGTAAAGTCTGTGACACATTAACATTTAAGAATTACAAATAAGGGTTAGAAGAGAATATTAATCACACTGGCCTGTTCCTAAGTGATATAAGATATAAATTTATTGATATTGATGGCTTTGAATAGTGCATTAATATCATGTAATATTGAGAAATTGATCTAGTTACCTATAAATTTCATAGATTAATACGTAGATATAAACTGTCAACTAGTTTATATTCTTAATATCTGAGTAATATTAATACTTTCTTAGTAGTTTTTTAGAAGTAGAGTTGTAGTTTTAGATCTAACTAGACTTTGAGATGAATACGAGCGGTGTAGGTTTTCCTGTTTACTTTTTTAACACTACCTTTATTCCACGCAATCTCTTACAGATAACCAGAGTATGGAGTAAACGCAGTAGGGAGATATAGCTTATATCTGCTGTAAAAAGAATCATACATAATCGGTGTATATTATATAGCAAAAAAAATGTAACCGAATTGAGAACTACTACTTCTTGTCTTCAGTTTGGAAGTCGGTAAAAAATTGATATAGTACTAGGATTATACAATACCATATTTAAACAATATACTAATAGGGTAAACTTTGCATTATCGTAGTATCAGCTGAACGATATCGCACTAAACATAATAATATATTTGCTGTACAAAACATACAGAATGGCAATAATCGAAAATACCTGTAGAACGGGTCAAGAACTAGTCGCGTAGGGGCAGCTGGGCAACCCCGCTTCAACCGATGACGATTTGCATGACGCTGTTAGACACCCATCGGTCACTGTTTGGTCGCGTCCAATAGGGGTCACTTTGCACAATACGATGTCCGGTCCACCCTACCCCGGTGTCCGGCGGGGTTCGTTTCGAAACAGGTTGGTATGACGGTCCGCGACGGTTCAGTGCGCGGTTAGCGCCGGTGCGGTCCGGGTGCGACGTCGCTCACTACTGCGCCGTCGCCTGTCGCAAGGTTGCCCCACACGACTTGTATGGGGCCTCGGCGAGCGCTCTCTCGCCACATAGAGAAGGGTGACATCGCGATTCTTCCTCATTGTTCGATGCCGTAAAGGGTTGCCGACCGTTAATACAGGATGCTATTGTATTATCTTTTATTTGTTCTGTCTTAATGTCCCGACCGGCACCCATCTTCGAAACTATCTTATATATACTCAATTTTAAAATGAACTAAATATATCCCAAATAATGACATTAAACTTTTAGTCACTGCTCTGGATTAGTTATTTTATTCTGCTTAACTTCTCACGAAAATAAAATTACCTAAATTGAAAACAGCAAAACATCCATTAAAATAATCTACTAAAGAGACCATTTTAATAAATTACAATTAATTACAACATATTTTTTAATCAAACATGGACGTCTAGATTAGCATGTCATGACAACATCCCACTTAGTTGCAGCACGGAATGCACCTACACATAATTTATCTAATAACTGCTGCGTAGCAATAGGTATCACTAACAAGATGAAAAATCTTTTAAAGTCTAATGTCAAATTACGATAATACAGCGTGAGAAAAGCTTAAGAATTAATTAAAATAATGGCCTAAGGAAACATAAAACGTCGGCAGTGGCGAGGCAATTAGAAGTCAAATTTGAGTGAAGCCATAGAGGCGTGGAGACGACCGCGGAAGTCATTGCCCATTACTTTATAAGCGTTTGAATAATTATTATCTACTGCCGCGCATCGCAGTTGGATGAGAGGAGAAAATAATATTGCAAAAATGCATACAACCTGCTACGCAAATAATTTCGCATTCTGATACATCTCAGACGTTATGTTAAGCTTTATATTATGCACCTGATAAAGGTAACTATTTCTATATCAACTTCCGAGTAAGCTTGGCTACTATTAACTATTACATAGTAATTATTAAGATTACCAAGTAATTACCATGTCATAAGTATCTTAACTTACTTATATGCACTTCGATAAATATACATACATAATCAAAGTATATTAAAGAGAGTTTATTTTAGACTACTGGGCTTTTCTTATTAGCATATTATTATCCTATTGTACCTGCTATAATTATGTTAGCTCAATAATATTATAAATGCTAATGTTTTTGGAATTGTTCGATGTTTGTTACTCAATTACGCATAGAAAATTAAGTGGATTTGGATAAAATAAATTACATAGTCTGTGTTCACTTTAATATTCGAGCGCAGTGATGCTGGCTCATCCGTCATACTCGTGAACGGGTGCTGCTTGTAGGGACTGGTCTGCTCTAATCACTATGACTGATTTCCTCTTAATAATTGTTTAACCAGTTGGTTATAGTATATTCAATATTTTTTCTTTTTGAGTATTTAATTGAATTAGTGCTAATTGGTGGTTTGTATTCACACTCTTAAACTTAAAAATGTAAAGTAATAATAAAATTATTTAAAAGAGCAACACGCAAGTTTCTTGCTCGTTCTTCTTGTGATGAGACAGCTTTCCGAACGAGCGGTAGATTAAAAAAAATGTAATGACTATTCAAAAGTGCTTCAATGTAAGTTTATTTGAATAAATGATTTTCTATTCTATTCTATTCATTTAACATATTGTTATTCAACTAGAAGCTAACTAAGACTACTTCACATTCATACTTTCAGCAAATAACCCGAGTTTTCTTTACATGTTTGTCAAATCATGAGCGTTAGTGCACATTGTGACCTAACTCAAAGGCATACGAACCAAAGACACAGTTAAAAAAAATCCTAATATAATATAGTCAATTATAGTTAATAATTGTACATATCCTCATAATCACTCGGCAAACCTGAGTCCATGTAACATCTATATCATGTAAGCTTAATTGAATGATAAAAGTAGAACACTTACGTCAATTGATTGGAACCAAAACGACTTTAAACATTTGCCGTCTCCAAGTTTTATTATAACGGCCATTAACTTATATTGCGTTACAGATAGCAAACGATTTAGACTTGGTTTTTTTACCGTTTTACATAATTACAAAATTATGCCTTATATTTACGATACATGTATATATACCGGTCGGCACACCCACACAAGCCGCTCACAACAAAATTAGAAGAGCACATTCGAACAAGATGGATTGCCGTAGATAATGTGTCACGTTTGTTTTATAAGTAGCTAAATAACGCTAACTAGTCAACCGAATCGCTAATGGGATTCCAATATGACTCTTAATAGTTTCAATTCCGACTAAGCGCAATAATGGGTACAAAGAATGAGGTACCTTTCAAATTTGAAAAGAGTATAACACCACTTATCTTATATTAATGGTCATTGATAACGATCATTAAATACAGTTAGTTAGTTGCACGTTTAGATTGTACGATGGCGCATGAATAACTAATTTAGACGTGTAAATTATTCAACTAGTTGAATTATAGATTTAAAATTTAACTTTTTTGGTTTAACTAAAATTTTATTTTTATTTTTTATTACTTACGCGACATTTTTGTGTATAAAATTTATTACGAACCCATTTTTTTTATTAAACCTTTAACTGAAAGACTTTATATTCATTGTTGGATTTAAATCAATGTAATCAAAAGTGAAATAGGTAGTGTTCAGCCGAAAACAAATGTGTTCAAGTTCTACTATATATTTTTGTATGTAATTTTAAAATCTGAATGATCTCTTTTTGTAATTACTAGATTATGTTATAATACATAATCTAGTAATTACAAAATATTAATATAAGTCTAATTAATGCATACAATGCATCAAACAAGTAAATTAAATTAATCAAAGTGGTATGAATATTGTACATAATATTATATATCATATATATACTAATATTACATAGAGGTACAATTTAAGAGTATGGTAATCTCCGGTACTAAAATGTTGTAAAAACGGAGAAATGTGACGCATACAAAGTTGGTGTGAATCAGTTAGTATACAATATATGTATATACTATAAGGTAAACAATTCCGCTGTGTTCTTAAGCAAATGGGGTCTGCTTACTTAATAGTGTAGTAAATAATAATCTAGATTCTGTTCATTTCCGAGTGGTCACGGGAGTCATATTTGAAACACCGTATATTCTTACCAACAACGGAACTCAAAAAGTAACGTGACTTAGTAACGTGATTCAAAAAGATTAATTACTAAGTAACAGGGAACATAATAACAAAATTTTTCCTCATTATTTAATTTTTGTAGGTATATCACATACCCAGAGAAACGGTGTAGACGAATAAAATCGAGTGCCATTTAAAAAATATCACATAAATAAAAATTATATCACAAAATATACAATATACCGCTATATATATGTTACATATAGAGTACCTACACCAGTTACAGGTATGTCTGTCAGAGTCCCAATATATGATTGGCGTAACGAGCACAGGTACCGATTTTGGTCAATAATCGGCATAAGTATAGTGAGTATGTTCGCGTACCGAATGCAATAATAATTGGAGGGTCCGATTTATCACATTGCTGTTCTCCGAATCGCCTGAACAGTTCTTGTGCAAGCCCTTCACGTCGTGCGCACGAAAATATCTCGAGGAGTTCATGCCGAGTGCACATAATTATAGGTGGAAAAATACATGCATGGGATATCTGTTCGTGAACATTTTTATCTTTCTTATTACTTTACCTAACCGTTTTAAGCGCGCAAAAAATAAACAATCAATGTACCTACTGCTATTCTTTTCATCAACGCGACCCCTTCCTCTAACAAAATGAAAGGTAACTTATAGTTTAACAAAGAAGGGGTCAAGCTTTCACAAAACAAGGAACGTTTCTTCCCACACTGGTCACTCGTGGGTACTGGTCATCGGTGGTCATCGAATGCTTTGTTTAGATATTGTCTCCCCAAGAAATAACAACCCTTTTCGGATTTCAATCGCTTTGAAAGACAGCTCTTAATGTGCGATATCCATTTGAATAACGAAACGGTCAGTATTCTCCTATAACTATCTATTAGGACAGGGTAGATATAACGACTGATGTTATTGTATACATGTATTATATTCTAATTCAACATTTAGTCTTTTAAAAAAAATATGGGGATAGTTTAGTACCCACTACAATATATTTTTTTTAATAATTATTTATTTCGTTACGTTTACAGCAGCATATTATTTATGTTATTAATTATAATAGATGTTATATTGAACCACACCTGTTGTGTAGTACTACGAGTACATTCGACGGTCAATTTTATTCAGTTAACCGTTCATTAATTTATAGATGACATCCGGGTTTCTCCGGTCTCGTTCCGATTTCAAAATATTTAGGAACATCCGACGGATGTAAAAATGTCACAAAATTTTCCGGGTTCGTAACTACTAATTGCGTAAATATTTTTACTATATAATTTAAATCATTATATCCGAGTGATAGATATGAGTAAGAATATAATCTGTCACCACTTCCATTTATCTCAAGTATGTTGAAAGAGACTATCAAAGTACAAATAAATCAATGCAAGAGAAAAAACTTAAAATGAAACCCTAAACTACGTCACCACCAGCATAATAACATTTCTATGACAAATGATCTGTGGTCAATATTTGTATGATAATGGATTATTATGATGATCATGGTGACATAATAGAAACTACTGTGAAGAATAGTACATTAAATTAATATTTAAATCAAAGACAACACATATGTAGGCCCGTGTCACGAATATCCTGTGTATTAATCTAGGAGTTAATCTATCTGCGTAATTAATTTCAATAAAATTTTCAACAGCGTCACGTAAAGAGTGATAGGCATTCAAACACTAATTCACCATCGCTCTATCCGCACAAAATGTCGCGTTTATAATGGCAGTAGTATTGGTACTAATTTTCAATACTGGTAGAACCATATATAAACACCTAAACTCAGGAACCTGACGTAATGACTTGCAAACGAGCACAAGCCTTGTGTGATGCAGAACATTCCACTGCACTCTGTTGGTGTACCTACACAGACACTC